TAAAATGGTATCAAGCACAGGGTATGACATTGCTTTCGGACAGACTCAGATTGATTTTCTCATCTTTCTATGAGCACAGTAGTAATTCATGGTTTCGATGGAGACTACTATAATTCTATGAGTTTTAACGGTAACGGTAACACGATTTTACCATTACCGCACATGTCTATTCAGGAGTTATAAGCATTTTTTCGAGACTCCCAAATGGCATTTTCAGTGATTTTCGAGATTTTTCGACCCTTCATCGAAGCCAAGTCACCGAACAAAGTGTAAATTCGGAATCAGCATGCAATACTGCGTCGAGTGACATGTTTTTAATCTTCATTTGATGACTTTCATTTTTTCACCATGTACATGCCATGATCCACAGAGCGGTATGATAGTTTAGTGACAAAAGTGAAAAAAAATGAAAGTCATCAAATGAAGATTAAAGACATGTCACTCGACGCAATATTGCATGCTGATTCCGAATTTACACTTTGTTCGGCGACCTGACTTCGATGAAGGGTCGAAAAACCTCGAAAATCACTGAAAATGCTATCTGAGACTCTAGAAAAAATGGTTATACTTCTGAACGAAACACGCTAGCGGGCTCAGCCTTACGCAGATCGAAAGAGAACAATTTTCTCTATCGAATGGTCATGTCAAAATCCTAAATCCAATAGTAAATGCCTTTGGAATATTGTTTTTAAAATGTTCATCAAGAATTCTCGTGATTGGTCAATTTTGATCAACCAGATTTGATATTTTCATATAAAAAATATGACTCTCTTTCGAATGCTGAAAATCGCAAGTCTCCAGGTGCTTTCGCTCTGAAGTTTTTCAACTTTCAACCGAGGGCACTGTTCATTGAAATGGATAGTAGTTTCTTCTTTTTCTTTAGAAATGTTCTCTTACTTACAAGTACTTCCGGAAAGAGTATAACTGAAAGGATCTGATCTGATCTGAATCTAATCTGTCCGAATGAATAATTTTCATTTTTATTTTCCCGAAATAAAACGCACTAGTAGCAAATCGTTTCTAAGCATCGTTCACGCTGAGGGACCCAATATCTTGTATTGCTGCATGCCTAATCGACTGCCGTACTTGAGAAACATGTTTACATGCGCTTTATATATTGGGAAAAGCCTCATTTCTCTAGACTCCTCTATGTTTGCACGAGCGATGATTTATTGGCCGGACCTATCGACTTCAGACTTACAGGTCCCATAGAGAAATGTTTGGGCTATCGATTGGTGTAATTTTTAGTTAATTAATATCGAAGGCTAATGAGTAGGAAGTTGGGAAAGTTAAAAACAATGATGTTTTGCTGGAGTGATCCGATTTACCCCATCATGCGTTGCTTAACTGATCCGAATTCCCTCAATTGGGGTAAATCGAATCAGAGCGATGGGACTTATTTCATTTTAATTACAGATAAATAATTAAGATGAATTTTAAAGTAATTTTTACATCAGTCGATAGAAAATGTTCAAATTTTTACCTGTGAAAAAAATTTTTTCAGGATAAAAAATGAGCGAGTTATTATCAAAACAATACGGAATTTTCCAAAACTGATGTGATTCCCCCCCAACTAACTCTATATTAAGATGTTCCATCCCCTAACTTTTCTCTCACCCCCAAACACATCGCTGGAATTATAACAGCAAACTCAATTTTCAGATTACACGTATTTATTTTGCCGACTCAGCTTTTAGAAACTCAGTTTAGCAAAGGGTATCTACAAAACTCGAATTTCCAGAGATCCAAGTTTAAAACTTGTTGAAAACAATTTGTTAAGCATGCCAGCTGATAGAGCATATTCGAAAACCTGTATTTCAATACATTTTAAAGCTTATTTATGATATTTTAACTGAAAAGCGGAGAGAATCGCATTTTCGATCCGCGGCCAAAAAGTGAAAACAACCAAGATCTTGACAGCTAAAGACCTGGTAGTTTGTGAATAAGGCTTTTTATAGACTTGCGAATAGCCTCTACAAGCATACAGTGTTAATATATTTTTCTGATCACTTTCATTTTTCCTTTAAAAACGGTACCAAAATCACTCAGATACACTATAAAGAAGAATATGTTCAAATTTCGTTTTCACATCAATGTAGTTCAGAATTTATGCTGCTTAATTGACTGATAAGGAATCGATTGATTCGAAACGTCAAATCTACTTGTTTTAAACAAATGAATAAGTGTAATTTGACTACTAATATGTAAAATTCTATATTCTTAAAAAGATCTACCATTAACCAAATATAAGATACAAATATTTATCATATTATTTTTATGCTATATTAGGGAATCCGTATTTATCATTAATCTATCATCACCAGAAATTCATCCAGCAAATGAAAATCAACTTCGATCAGATGTTTATTCAACGCAATCTCCTCTTGTTGAAACAATTATTCCAAATTTAGTCAATCAGTCAAATCAAAATTCTCCGCAAACATCTCTTCCATCACAAGGGGCACCGCCACAACCACATCCAAGACGACCATCAATGTACGTTTTCTACAAGTATAACAAAAATTTTCTTTATTCTTCGTTTTATTTTATTAGAGTACAAACATTACGAACACTCGTATCATCTAGAAGTAGACGAGGTAGTTTATATGCTGATTTGTCTCAACGACGAATGACTGAATTAAAATTTCGTGAATTATTGACTGATCCATTAACCGATCAAAACTTAAATTTTTTTCAAAATTATTTTAATGAAGATATTTCAGTGAAACAATTTGACATTACACAATTTTGTCGTTTACTTCAAATAACACCGGTATTAGGTACGTATTTGTTTTGAAAGAAGAAGAATACCTTACGTTGCAGCTACCGTTACCGGTGTAGGGTGTTACCGTGGCAGTTTCAATAGCCCGATATCTTCTTTGCAGGTGACCGGCGTCTGAAATGGTCACCTGTCTCGTTACTACTCAACAATCACAGCTCTGGACAGAAAACTAGCCGGACGCAGTTCTTTTCTACACACACTCACTAACCCCATACTAGCTTTCAGGACAGCCACGAGGACTAGCCTAAGAGGCTGTATTGTACGTCACAAGTAGGTATGCACTAGAGTCCTACAGGTTAAACCTAACCTAACCTAACTAATAGGTTAGGTTTAGGTTATGAAATTTTTATAGGTTAGGTTGTAGGTTATGCCATTGATAACCTATTTTTAATTTAAATGAAAAAACCGATTTTGAACGACCACATTAAAACAGCCAACACTTTGAATAATAAAGCGTAGTCCGAGTGGAATTTTATCGATTGAGAATGAAGTTCAGACTGAGATTCTCTAGCTTAAACTGAAAAATAGCGCAATCAAAAAAGGAAGTACAGAGAAAAAACTTCCGTTTGCTAAAAATAGATGGCAAATACACAACAATAACAGAACTTTCGTAGCATCGAGAGCTTAAAGTGAAATTCTGGTTTACTGTCAAGAGGGTCTCCCTATTCAGAAAACGATTTTCCAAAGATTGCATTAAAGAACTCAACGGTTTGGCCAAATGTTACAGAATTTCATTTTTTCGTCTTCTGTGCCCCTTATCTCCGCAAAGAAGCAAAATGATTGTTTGGTATATATTTTTTCTGTCATAAAACTGCTTAGCAAGCTCTGATTTTCACATAGATAGATAGTTTGAGATGCCCTTCTTCCGATGCAGCCCAAAATAAATTTCAAAATTAGATTAAATGGTCATAATATCGCTCACAAAATAAGATCGAAAGTTTTTTTAGAAGATAAAAGCAAAATTTGGCATCTAAACGTCAAACACAAATGAGCACTTTGGTAGAGGATTTGATTTTCTATCCGACGGTATAGTTTTCAGAATCTTCGGAAAAAATATCCAGGAATTTAAATTTTCACCACGAAGATTTGACTTTCATTTGTTTTTGAGTCCAGATTTGTAATCACCGTGAAAAACTGCGTCTAATAATGGATTTTTAAGCTTTGCTCAAGCTAAAACAAAAATTGGGATCTTGTCATCCGAACATGGACCGTTAGCTGGTCATGCCGTTAACCGATTCATTTCTATATTCATGTAAAATGTGATTTATTTTCTATAAGCTTACCTTTCAGATGTTTTTAGATAACAAATAATAACGATATGAAACAAAGCTGAAGTTTAAGCTTCTGAAACCAGGTTTTGGGAAAAAATTGCAAAAGGTTGTATTAAGTTAACCTAGGTTAAGTTACAAAAAACATTAATAGGTTAGGCTAGGTTTAGGTTGTGAAAATTTTTATAGGTTATGTTATAGGTTTTAAAAAAGTCGTAACCTGCAGGACTCTAGTATGCACTGGTATCGGTATACCGAATACCAAAACTACCGATACCGAAAATATCGAACTTCGGTATATACCGATACCGAATAGGCATGCACCGAGACGAGAAGTCTCGAGAAGCCTCGATACTGTAGTCCCAAGTCTCGAAAAGTTTCGATACCCGCAACTTTAGTCCCGATTAATCTCGAAAGTCTAAGGTCTTATTACTTGTATAGAACCCTCTAATTGGTGGGAAAGTCGAGGAACCTGTTTTGTGTGCATAAATTTTTCTGATTTTAATAAAAATGGGTGTAGGAAGACTTTCCGTTAGTCGCTGTGTGTATATTTTACACATAGTCATGAACTAGACTAAAGCTGAATGCGCTAAAGATAACTCCGTAAGGTCTAACTTTTCAGAAAAGAATAGAAGGCATCTGCCGCTCTGAATTCCAAGGTATGTCGATTGTCTTCCCGAGCAAGCAAGGGCCGAAGCAGACCAACTTTGTTTTATTTTCGTTATTTATTTATTTTCTTTTTTTCTTACAAAAATGTTACATAGCTTCACAACAACATAAAAAAATAGTCTCGAAAAAGTCTCGAAAGTTTTGATACCGGCACTTTATATAGAGACTATTCGAGACTAAAGTTTTGGGTATCGCGTACCCCATCTCAGCGCATTCCTAATACTAGAAATTCCGATTTTTTTTAATTTTTACATCTCAAATGAGATAGTTTAGCATCCTGGACACCCAGAAAGAATCGGGGATGGAAAACAAGAACTTTGTTTGCTTTCTAGGGCCAAGGTTTTCCTCTATTTTCTATGTAAGTTATTCTTACACATGCTCAGAATACACAGCTGAATGTTTTTTGTGTTCTGACTGTTCATGATGTTAAACTATTTCATTTCAGATAAAAAAATCAATAAAAGTCGGTATTTTCAGCATCGGTATTTCGGTATGAATACGAGACTCGAATGTTTCACCTGAAGGTGAGAGTGAGGGTCAGATGTTCGAGTCTCAATATATCAAGGCAGGAAAATTCATTAGGATCGAACTTTTTCCCATCGTACTACTATGACCATGGGCTACCAGTGTAGCAAGTTTCAAGTCAAAATTCGAAAGTCGGATTTTGCTCGAAATCCAAGCTCTATAGGCAAAAACTGACTAAAAATTCAATATCTCAGCAACAAAGCACCATGGGGATGAACCAACTTAGGG